AGGAGAGTTCCTTTTTCTCCACATCCTCGCCAACATTTGTTGTTGCTAGTTGTTTGAAGATGTGCCATTCTCACTGGGGTGAGGTGGTATCTCATTGTTAACCTCTCTTAATTCTTAAGTGCCCATGTTATCTGAGGCAGTGGGACCTGGCAAACAGGGAGGACCCGTTGGTCTCATTCATTGTCTCATCACGTGACACATGCGTTTAAAACGTTTCCATTGGGCTGGGCAGCATCAAAGGTGAAGGGGCATTTCCAATTGGGCATGTTCCCCTGCCCAGGATCCTCAGGGCGTGGGGAGCTGAGTCCCCTGATACCTCCTCCTGCTCCTTCTGCTGCTTCCTCTTTTCTGTCTCCTTGGGCGTGAGGACAGCTGAGCCTACAGCAGGCTGGGTTGACCCCAGTTGAGTGCTGGTGTGTTGGCCTAACAGGTCAGTGGAAGCCTTTGCTTAAAGGGGGCCTTCTAATCTGTGGCAGAGGCTGGGGGAGGCGGCTGTGGCTCTGAATGAACCACATAATAAGGGTTGAATCCCAGCGTGACCGTCAAAACAGCTGGAAAAGCTGGATAACCCCTGTTATATGAGGAATCAGCCAGATATCTTGACGAAGAAAAACTGCGTGTGTACCCTGGTAAAAATATTACTTTTATAGTTATTTTTACATCCCAACATTACTCATGGAGCACCATCATATTTTATGAAAACTTTTATTAACATTTCAAAATGACCTTACCTTCATGGTGAGGCTATCAGTTCCGGGAGCCATAACCTATTTAAAACATTTTCATCTTTACAAACACAATAAAGGAAGCTGTCCTCAACGTAGATTTGTAGATCTCATTAGAGATAACTTTTAAAAAAGGTAGTGCATCTCTGGGGAACATAATGACAGGTTGTAATCTTTGCATGAGAAGTTTTCAACCACGAGCCGTTTGGGCAAATGCCCTGTCTCGGTGGGACTCTGGTCACCAGATTTGCGGTCATTGTTCTGATGTCCAGTGGGGATGGTTCGGGCTGGGTGGTCTACCACCAGGCTGGGTGCAGCTGCTGGACCCTTCCAGGTAGCTCCTGACCTCAGGGCTGCAGGGATGTGGACCTCAGGGGTGCAGGGTGAGAGGCGTTGGGGCCAGAGACAAAGGCCCCTTCCTTTGATTTAAGCGGCTTGGTCTTCTGGGTTGTAAATGAGGCTGCTCCCCTGGGTAGTGACTGGCTTAGGTGGCAGCGGAAGGGTAATTTTTCAGAGCTGCTGCCTCCAGCGGCCCAGTGTTCTAGAGGCTGCCCTGCTTAAATGGTCTTTTTATGCAGCGAGATAATGGCAGCTCGCGCACTGCTAAATCAGGCCTATTTTCTGAGGAATGGTTGCATTCAGGGCACTTCTAATTTGTCAGGAGAAATGCAGACCATCTCTCCAGGAGTCTGCTGAAGAGGACATCATTTCTCCGCCAGCTCCGCCTTGGGTCAATGTACAGCTCGGCGAGCAGGCCCTCCCCTGTTGCTTCCACCTCCCGGGGACACTCTGATTTATTAGGATTAAACAAGCCATGTCCTCCTCCCGACTCAGTCCACAGATGCACATGCCTGCTTCCTCCTGCTTGCTGGCCCCTGCCCTCCGGAGACACGTGGGGAGAGAAGGGCCCCGTTCCAAGTGCTACTCTGTCATGGGGGAGCCTGGGGAGCCAGTCCCACTTGGCAGGGCCAGGGGTGGTGATTTGAGGGGCACAGCTCATCCAGAGGAAGGGTGCGGACACCTGGCAGCAGGTTCTGGGGGTGGCCGCCCCTCTGGCCGTCGAACGGAGACAGTAACGCTGGGAGGTGGTGGCCAGAGCCACCATCATGGGACAGGGCTAGTCTCCGCCGGTGGTGGGGAGGATAAAACCCAAGTGAATCAGACGCTGAGGGCTTGCTGAGAGCTCGGACTCACGCTGGCTACGTTTCCTCTGGAGGCTTCCTCTGCCCTGTGGCGTTCACGTAGTGAAGCTCCGCCCTGGCTGGGCACCCATGGGAGAGCGTCTCATTTGCTCTGTTGAGCATCGCCATCCTCATCGCCATTTCTGGGGATATAGCTGTGATCTGATTGCTCTCTCTGGGGCCACTCCCTGCCTGCCTACCTCCTGGGACCCCTTTGTTCTCCAGGCACCCCCCCTTTTTTTATTTTACAAAAGTTTATTTTTACATCATTTTGTACATTTTTTCCCCCCATCTCAATTGTAATCCCCGCGGGTTTCCCATCACCAAGTCACCCGTGCGCCATCACCATAATTCCGTGCACTTCCCTCCCCACCCTCCCGTATTTGATCCCATCCCCCACTCCATCCCTGCAAAATGTCTCTGGTCTATGGTTGTTCATTATTCTTGTTATTTTCCCGCCTGGTCCATTATACTCCTGCTATGAGTGAAACCATCCGGTATTTTTCTTTCTCTTTCTGGCTTATCTCACTAAGCATGATCTTTTCCAGCTCCATCCAAGTTGCTGCAAAAGACATGTGTTTCTCTTTTTTGGTTGCTGAGTAATATTCCATTGTGTATATGCACCACATCTTTTTTATCCAGTCATCTGCTTTTCTCCAGGCACCCCTTTCACAGTGGAGTCCTGGAGGTCACGGCATGGGGACACTGCTTCTGTTGCTTAACAGCTTGGTGACTGTAGCCCCACTTCTCACGCCCCTCTGGGCTCATAGTGGGACCCCCACAGTCAGCAGGTGGTCATGAGGACTAAGCCAGGGGACCCACAGAACTCCAAGAGGGGGGCTCGTGGCCCCCCAGCTGAGAAGTGCTCCCCATCTGTCTCCAGTCCCACCCTGCTTTCTGTCCTCACGGTCCTGCCTTGCTCCTGTGCTTCCAGTGGGCCCCGGAGCTTTGCCCACTGCTCAGTCTGCTTCACTGCAGTGCTGGTGCATGCAGAAACCAGGTCTGGGAGCATTCAGGGGAGGTTCATGGCTGTGGGGCGGAGGGTTGACACTGTGCCCCATTAATCTGCTCTCCGGGTTGGACCTGTCTGGGTGGCACTGTCCTTGGAATCCTTCTGCCCAGTGGGTGCTGCTGGCCTTTGCCCCGAGCTCAGCGGCACAGTATTCGCTGGGAGGGCCTGGCACCCTGCAGCCAGATGTGTTCTCAGACTCATTTCCTTCTTGATCTTTCCATTTAAGTGATAGCGCTTTACCTCTTCTTGAATCTGTGTCCAACCTGCCTGACGTCCCAGTTCATCCAACCATATGTCACTGGCTTATCCGAATTACAAATACATTCTGAGGACCTACTGTGTGTCCAGTGACTTGGAGGCAATATACTTTCGTTCACTATTTTAAGTGGAGACTGGCCAACCCCTTTGAGTTACTCATTTAAATATCTCTTCTTCAGATGTTATTTGGCTGAAACTTCAGTCTTGCTTGGAAAGGTTGGTCCAGTTAGAAAGCAAGGGCATGAGGTTAAGACTCATGAGAAAGAAGATCAGAAAATAATTCTTTATTTCCTCCTTTCTTCTTCTTTATTTTTAAAGCAGATTTTCCAAAGAAGCTGGATTGCAAAATTTTGGACTTGGTTTTATAATCCAGCAGCTGGAAATGATTGCCCTCCCTACCCGAGACTGACTTTCCATTTCTGCAGCCTGGATGCTGCTCCAGCAGATGACCCCTAATGTTGCACAGACATAAGGTGGTCGAGGCTGGCCACGCCATGGGGTTAGAGACAAGACAGAAGGGTGCTCGCACCCGGATATGTTAGCATCAAAGCCATGTTGATGGTCAGGGGAGCTGACACAGTCCACAACTTGAAGGCCAGAGCCATCTTTCCTGGTAGGGAACTGAAAACACCCCCCTGGTAAGGGGGTTGGATGTCCACGGGGTGCAAGGCACACGCTTTCATTGATCATGGCCCTTACATGCTCCCAGAATCATGCTGTCTAGAAAACCATTTAAACTGGTGAGAAGAGACGATAGCATTTGACAATGGTTGTTTTGTTTTAAGACATATGCATTAAAAATACATCTGAAATCCAGGGCACAAAGAATCCAAATAATGCTATTAAATTTCTTGTTGAGGAAAGACCCGGGGGACTGCTGGCTCGGCTCTTTTAGGGAAAAACTTGCAGAATTCGACTTGTTGCATGAACAAAGCATCTTCATCTCTTTTTTTCTTTCCCCCCCTTGGTTTTTCTTTTCTTCTCTCTCTCTCTCTCTCTTTTTTTTTTTTTTGCATTTTCCCACTTTCCTATTTCTCCTGAGAAGACAAACAAATCTCTGAAGGACTATTAAGTTGCAAATACACCGGAGCCAAAAATAGAAGATGGAGCCTTATAAACATTTTGCATATTTTGGTGTAATTTGTTGAAAATAGTGCAAAATATGCTCACAGTTGGCATCTAGAATGCAAATATTAGGAATCCAGTCCCCTGATACATTATGGTTTTTCAGCAGTATAGTGTGGGCTCATCCAGTAGCTATTGTGTGACTTTGTAGTTTGTTGGAGTGTGAAGAATATCGGTGACTTGTTTGTACAGTAGATTAGGGAGATGCATGTCGCCAAGTGATATTAGCCCCCTCCAGAGGTTTCCAGGGACAAAAGCACAGGATGGAATTCGGGGGAAAAACAGATGCATGTGTTTTTAACATCATTTGCTTTTTGCTTTTCTGAGCTATATCCTTAGAATAAAAACCAGGGTGGGGTGGAACCGTGTGGGGGACTGTGGACGCATGACCGCCCCTTTCATGTTCCAGAACACCGGGGTGAGGTGGCGAGGCTTTCAGCGAGGAAATCAGCAGTGCTCCTGCGAGCCGGTGGGGATTCTCCCACCCCGGGCTTAAGTGAGGCGGGCTGGTTTTACGGCTGACGGTAAATTCGTCTTCCCTCTCCTCTGACAGGTGAGAAGCCGTCCCCCCTCGAATGAGGGCTCCCACAGTGCATCTGGCACCCACCTCACAGGTGAACCTTCCCGGCTCCAAAATGATGACTGGTAAGAAAAACAAGATGTCTTTCTTGGTTATAAATTTAACTCTTCTCTGATTAGTCTGAGCAATTAGGACACCCCTGGGGTTGAGTCTATGGCTGAGGCGCAAGCTGGAAGCCTGATTAGCTCAGGTCTCTGGATGCTTGCTCCTGGTAGTAAATGCCTGGCACATATAGTATTGATTTTCATTTAGATATCTTAATGTTTCCAGACAATCCCGGCAGATGTGGGCTGAACTCAGATCTGCGGGAGCGCCGGTCTGCAATCTGCAAACATTTTTCTTGCCACTTTGTTTCATTTTTCCTAAACTTAACTGATTTGGAATCTGGAGATATAAATGAAAAATGCCGACCGGGCCTATCAATCACTGCATGCGCAAACATCGCCACTGCCCTTTCCTAACATGCTATTACCACCGGGTAGTTGGCTAGTCAAACAGGAATAAAAATTACACTGCAAACATCATAAGTTAGGCTTGATTTGTTGAGCAAGTAGCCTGACAATTCGGTAAGAGTTATATACCTCAGCTTCGCTGAAAATCAGGCTTGTTATGGCTCTGGTACGTCTATAAAGATTGTTCATTTCATATAAAACAGCTACCTGCACTGAGCGCGCTGGAAGGAAGAATGATGCTTGTTATAAATATAGAGGAAAATCTATTTGTCTGCCCCTTCATGCTGTTAGTGAGTCATATGGAGCGGCCCTTGGTGTTTCTCGGCAGCGGGGAGTTCTCCGCGTCACCTTCCCCTCTGCCAGGCTGGCCCGGATTGAAAAGCATCATCTCTCTTTGTCATATGAGATAAAGCAGTGAGGTGTGACCGCTGCCACCGCCTTGCTCTCTGCGCACCATGGGGGACGCTAATGATATTGAAAAACTAGACGGCGTTGCATTTAAAGCAAACGTGAGGGGAAGGCTGTCTGTTGGCCGGCTGGGCTGGATAACCGTTAACGTCAGAAAAGATAAATAGAAATTATTAGAATGGGTTTGGAAGGGGTTTTTTATAGGGCAGGGTTGTATTCGTTTAAAGATACATTATTGGACTGTTATATCTGATTTCAAGCTGCTGGGTAATTAAAATGATTAACATCCCTTACTCATAGAGTTCAATTCATTAAAGTTTTAAGCGCCCTTTGTGCTCGAAGGGAGGAGAGCACATCCACGTTGACTCACGCCAGGGATCACTCGGCTTGGGCCTGGGCGGATTTTCACAAAGCGCTAGGGCACCCCGGACGCTGCTAACGAGGCATGCGCAGTGGGCGCTGGGTCGGGCCCTGGCCGCCGGGCTCTGCCCTTGCGAGAGAAGGAGCGGGAAGGAGACAGAGCCCCCCAGAACCCCCTCTGCTAAAGGCACTGAGCCAGCTTCCTCTCACGGGCCCGTGCTACCCAGCTGCTGGAACCAGAGCAAACGTGGATCTGTGGACTCAGCAGCTGCTTCCCCCATGCGTGTCTCCTCCTCGGGAGCCACAGGCAGGAGAAGGGTTGACTGGGGCACCCGTGTCTTGTAGCTGGGACATGCAGCGCCCCAAACTCTCATCACCCCAATTTAAACTCACTCAAAAGATTGTTTCCGGTGTTACTTTTCCTATTTTTTTTTTTCAGTTAGAAAGTATCAGCAAAGTGTTGGTAAACAAATGGAACATTATAAGAACTCGCTCTTGGGGTGGCAGGATAAAAATGCTACTGGGGTACACTGGCTTTTGCACCTTGTATCTCACGTTTGGGGAGAGAGAAGGACATGGACTTCTTTTTTCATTAGTCTCCTGCATATGCTTTTACCACCACTTGTGATTTGATTGAGACACAAGATGTGCTCGGGACGCAAACTTTTTTTTTTTTCCTTAAAGATTTATTTATTTATGCATACAGAACTGGGGTACAGGCCAGAGGCTGGGGCGGTGAGAAGCTTCACCAGAGACAGAGTGGGGAGCAGAACAGGCAGATCGACAAAGTACACTGCTGAGGGGAGCAGCGGGTGGGTCAGGAGAGGTCTGCCACACCATGTGGTCACCTCCGGGGCAGGCGGGAATCGAACTCATGCGGAAGTGGCTTCAGCTTCTCAGTGCAGTGCTTTAACCCGCTGCGCCACCAGGGAGGGCCACAAACTTATTTTTTTAGGCAAAGATAGGCCTTGGAATTTATGACATTTGGGCAGGTTCTGGGCGATGTCAACACTAGCACTACCCAGTTGTGTGACCCTGAGCAAGACAGTTAACCTCTCTGAGCCTCAGTGTCCTTATCTGTTGGATAGAGATAAATATATCTTCTTTATAGTATTATAAGGATTAAGCATGATAGAAATAGGTCCCTAGTATTATGCTTGGCCCAGAATGGGTGCTTAAGGCATCATAGCTGATATTACTTGCATTCTTTATCAGATGAATTGTAGTAGTATTATTTTATGCGTATCTGAGCTTTGAGATACTGAGAAATAAAGGGAGATTGGCCAACTGGGGCCAGACATTCCTAACCTGGAATGTGGCCCTTTCACCAGTCATTTTCTTAAGTGGTTAAACGCTCCCTATTCCTCTTTTCCAGATCATTCGTTGAAACAGAAACTTCTAAAACTGGATAGTCTACACATCATCTAATTAACATCAAAAAGCAAGAAGGTGAGAGAGTTCATAAATACAAAATATAGCACATGGAGAGGTGGGCTTCATGTCCCTTTCTGGAAGCTGGCAAAGAGGAAGGGAAGTAAGGAGGGGGAGGGGACTCTGTGTCTGGGGATCTCAGGTGCTGTCTCCATGGCTGTCCAATTACTGAGCTCTCCCTGCTGGCCCAGGTCTCATCGCTCCCAACTGGTTCTCCTGCATGGCAGCCTGGAATGAAGAGGTCCCCAACAGATTGGCAGAAAGCCACTGTGCTGTTGATACAACCACCTTTTTTTTTTTTTTTCAGGTGAGATAACCATATACCATGATTGCCCTGGTCAGTGATGGTTGATATGGTTGATGCTTGTTTTCTTGAATTTAATGTACAAACTGACCCCCACCGGCATGATAAATGGTCTAATCACCTTAGGCCAACAGTGTTTAAGGCAGCAGGTGTTTTGGGTATTGTCCCAGGTGACTCAGAAAAACCTACTAAATATAGGACCAGCGGAGAAAGATCAAGGGGTGCATTTTACGGTTGCTGCAGTGAGACCAAAGCTGGGGTCAGCTACTTGGTTCAAGGGCGGCAGTGGTCATGCATTTGCTCCCAGGTGTAAAATCCATGCTCATCAGAAGGAAAAGAGAATGCTCTATAAAATGTCATTCTAAGAGTTTATGACAAGGGTGGACTTCTGGGGAAAAGCTCATTTTAACCTTTGAGACCAACTTATTGGTAAAGTTAAAAGTGAAGTCAAGACTCACATCCATTTATGACCCGTTCCTCAAAAGGCTCTTCTCTGAAATTCTTCAGAATGGCATTGTGTCAGATCAAAGTCTGGTTAGGACGTCAGAACAACTGATTTAGACTTGGCCGTCGTCTAAAAGAATATCAGAAATTAAGAAGAATGGGGAATCAGTAAGTAATTATTTTCTTTTATCCTTTGTTTGGAGATTTTTTTCTTTCTGGGAATGAACACCCTGGATGTCATTCTAATCAAAATCACAAAGCCTCATGTGTTCCATTTCTAAAGTCAGGTTTCTTAAGCTGGGACACAGTAGGAGCAAGGTCTTATGGGTAGGTTGGCATTTCCCATGATGCATCGGCCCCACTAGATGCTTTCGCCCTGATCCACATTAGAGTCATATGTGGGCAGTAGGGTCCTGCCTTGAGTCACGGTGTCGAGCTGGTCCCCTCAGGGGAAAAACCAGGCATAATTGATAATCAGGCATAATCATAATAATTTGATACATGGGATTTAAAAAAAATTTCGGGTCAAGCTGGAAGCCTGTCTTTGGGAAAAGAAAAAAGAAAGGAGAGGGAGAGAGGGTTGCTGGGTCTTTGCAGCTGTGGGCAACACGCAGGACTCGCATGGAGCTGCCTCTCTTAAGGGCACTGTGCTCTCTGAGTCTCGGGTCCGGACGCTTCCTTCTTAAAACTGGGGCTGCTGCTTTAGTGTCCCTCCAATGCCTGGCCCCTGAGGCATATGGGTTAAAACATTACTCCACATAGTGGGGGCCCAGAGAAGACCTTACAAATGAACACACAAGTCAGTGAATAGGTGTGAGCTAGCACAGGTCACTTGCTGGTATTCTCTGCTTCTGGGCGGTCAGGATGTATCAAGGTGATACCCACTGAGACCCGCCCCCCCACCCTCATATCTTAATAATGCTAATGATCACTAAGATGATCCAGGCCAACCATCCTCACCTCTAGAATAACAAACTACATCAGTAGGTGATGGTGTTTTTCTTGCTTCCTCACTCAATACAACTTCCATGCACCCAGGAGTGCCATGTTGTTCACTGTGAGCTGGAGTGTCCCAGAGGGTTTTGGGGCATGCAGTTGAAATAGCTGGAGTTTATATTTTGATTGGGAGATATAAAAATATATAAATGTAATTTAGTTTGAGGTTTCCCATTGACATGTCCAGAGAGAAGATGCAGGGGAAACTCTGTTGATGCTGGAAACTGGGGAAGACTGCCAAAGACACCATGGTATTTTGAGAACATTTCTGTGACATGTAGAGTACCTACTGCAGCTGACTACATGCAAAGGAACAATTTACCTTGGAGGAGTTTGGCAGAGCCCACTAGGGGATCCCATGGGGTGAGGGGTGCTGTGGGGCTGAGAGACAAGAGGTGAGTTTAATTTGGTTCCTACCAGTTCAGAGAGCAAGAAGGAGCCTGCGATTGGCTCTCCCATGAGGTTGAGTAAGTTATGGCACTTGCCTACTCAGTTTCTCAGTTTAATCATCTGTAAAATGGAGCTCATGATGAGACCAGTATAATAAGAATGCAGTGAAGGTCGATTGTGGTGATCCTTGACACGCCTGTGGGACAGAGCTTGGTCAAGGGAAGAACTGATAGGTGCTGGGCCTCGTGTTCCGGGAAGTAT